GCACTGTGCATCACTATTTGATATGTTCTATTACTATTATTACCATTATTATTGTCATTATTATTTTAGTAGCAACCTGGTCTAGTGGAAGGTGTCCCTGCTGATGGCAGGGGGCTTGGAACTGGATGAGCTTTAAGGTCCCTTCCAACCTAAACTGTTCTATGAACGCCACCTCTGCCTGGGAATTAAATGCTCCTCACAACAACCCTTGGACTAGACCTCGATTCTATGATTCTGTTAAGTTGTTCTTATCTCAGTCTACAAGTCTCCTTTCCCCTCCAATTCTCTCCCCTGTTCCCTGGGTAGGGCAGAGTGAGTGAGTGGCTTTTTGGTGTTTGGCTGCCAGCCAAGTGAAACCACCACAAGGTCATAATTGAAAAGGAGCAGGTTTGGTCTCATTGTTCCTGCTTTGCTCAGATCATGACCCTCTCCTCTGGTGACAGAACCTTCTGCTTAAAGACCAGCTTGGGATGCCATGTCTGCTGTGAAACCCCTGGGTAATGAGTAGTACACAGCTCAGAGCAAACCCTAAGGCAGGCTGCACACACTGGTGTTGCAGGAGGGTGGAAAATGCGTTTTCTAACAGAGGTGGGTTTAAAAGGAAGAAATTTCCTTTTCTGTTCCTGCTCAGCCTCATCTTGGGAATTTATTCAGTTGGATCAATTGGATATTTTCCCTCTCATACCTGCAAGGAAGGGCTGTGTGTATCTGTGTGTGTGGTTGCCCCTGGAGATCGTAACAAGAACGACTGCGTTGTGATGAGAGCAAAGCTGGCTGGAGAAATGACACTATCAGTCTGAAATTGGATCCTGACGTGGTGCAGATCAGCTTGGGAAAGTTCCCATGCTCACCATCCTTGTGACTGTTTCCACCCACCACTCATCACATGCCACTCTTCCAGAGGCTGTCGTGACCTTGCAGAGAAGTCACGCTGCAGAGGGACTTGCTGACCACCCCAGGTGTGTGTGTCCACCTTGTCCTGCTGCAGCACCTCAGCACGTGGGCTTCCATCTGAGACTGGCTGGAGGTTTTGGCTTTGAGCTGACTCAAGGGTATTTTGCCTGTGTTTCTTGTGTGAGGTCTGTGCCACCTTCTCTGTCTGTGTGGGAGATGGCTGGCAGGGAGCACCGTGTGCAGTTGCTGCTTGCAAGAGCTGTGGAAGAACAGCACCTCCTGTCACTGATGACCAGAGGGGTGAGGTTGCTCCGGACCTTTGTCTGACACAATTCATTTTGGAAAAGTGACAGCTAGGCAGGTGAAGAGCACAAGAGAAGGCTTTAAAGTAGTTTTTTCCCTTACATAAAGCTTGACCCTGCCATTGCCTGCTGCAGCCCTGCTGTGGTCATTGTAGCAAGCTGGTCTGAGGGCAGTGTGGACCCGTAAGCCAAGGCTGTGGCTGGTGGCACATCCATCCTCCGAGACGGAGACAGCAACTTCCTGCAGCTTTTCCAGTGTTATTTTATGGGACATTTGGAAGCAGGAGGGAAATGAGTGGAGGAAAACAAGCTTGTTCAGCCTCAGGTTTCCTTCCCTCCTGTCACCCTTGAGTCTGGGGTCGTGTTTCCTTTCTGGTGAACAAACAAATCAGCAAGATACAGGATCACACTGTCAGCTGCTGCCCATGGCTGACTAGTCTGCAGGCAGAGAAGCTGTCCCAGACCCATGAAGGCAGAGAACCCTCAGTGGGGCTGTCTCCAGCTGAAGTGGAGAGCCTTGACCTCAAGAGGTGTTGCTTTACTTGAGCATGTTCTCTGCAGCTCTGCCTTGACTCACCAAACTGTCCTGAACTGCTTTTTCTGATGGTATTGGGTGACTTGGTGGTTTCTGTCACTTTGGCCCCCAACTTTGGCTCCCCACTTCAGGTTCAGCCTCAGGAGGCTGGATGATGAAAGTGCTGATCAGCTATTCAGATGTGTCATCATGGCTGCTGCTTTAATGGGTTTGCTTGCAACGTGGGAGAGTGCAAGCAGAGTCTCTGACCTGAACACAGGGTCTGGCACCTTGGTGTCTTCCCGGGGTTTTCAGAAGCTGCCACTGAGCAGCGCTCCTGGATCAAGCCACATCAGCTCACTAGGGTCTGCAAAGGAAATGCTGCTGCCACAACTGCCCTTGACTGTGGAAGAACAGATGCATGGTCAAAATACCCTGTTTGGGATGGCACCAGGGCTGGGTTCACTCTGCATGACTCCACCAGCCTGTGTGGCCTCTCAGTGATCCCCATCCTGCCCTGACGATGCATCTCTGGGCTCCGCCACAGCTTGGATGCTTGCCAGTCCCTCACCCTTACCCCCAGGCAGAGCTGTTTTCCTGCACAAAACCCCCAGAGAAGGGACAGAGTCCAGCATATGTGGAGGTTTCCCCTGTACAAGACATCTTATACCCGTGTTGTGTAATACATGCGTGCTTGGGGCAGGCTGGGGTGCTGCTGACTGAGGATTGCTCGCATTTTCACCATTTTCAGACTTAATTGAAACCACCGGAGCAGCCTTCCCCATGGCCTGCTCTGCAGATGTCATTAGGGAGAGCGGCTCTCGATTGCCACGCAGCTGTGGCCACCGTGCTTCCTTGTGGTGACATTGCTGGGGAATGCACTAATTTATTTTTATTCTCTGTCTGTCCCTCCTCTACGTGTTTCACAATCGCAGATTTCTTTCCTTTCTCATGTCCCCACTCGGAGTTGTGCAGACTGTTCCCCTGGGGAAATGCAGGCGAGACATCAATTGGTATGCTGAGTGTCACCCCCTCCCCGCTCCCCCCATCTTTTAACATTGTTTGGGGCAGAAATTGGCTTATCTCTATTCTGCAGCCATAGAGAAATCCATTCCCTGGTGCTTGTAGGGCTTCCTGTGACAGGAATTGCTCCAACTCCTCAGCCTGATTAGCTCTCTTTGCTGCCTCTGTGTGTGTGTGTTAGAGAGAGACCACCTCTAATTTAATTTAATAGGATCCTGAAGAGAACAAACTCCTTTCAGCTGCCTCCGTAATGGCACTGCCATAGTTACCCGTAGCGTTGCTCACGCAGTGTCTGGAATCATTTCATTCAGCTACAGCGTGGATTGTTTTATTTTTTTTTTTTAAGAATATATAAAAGCAGCTGTGATATAAACAGTTTCCAAGGTAACAAGGCTGGGGGAGGGTTTTGTGTCCCGTCCCCCTGCTCCACTCGGATGGGAGAGGGACGTGTGCTGCGGAGGATCCTGGGAGGTTTCATTCTCCACTCCTAATTCCTTTCTGCCACTGCTGCCAGATGTTGCAGTTTCTCAGGACTGTGTGGATCCACTCGGTAACTTCCAAAGCCCCACCACGAGGATCTGAGCGGACAGGACCACTCCTGCTATGACCCATGCCGGGACCTTTTGTGCTGACTCTCTTCTCCTTAACAAAAGGCTGACACTTGGCTTTAATGCCCAAGAGGAGCAGAATGGAAAGGCCAGTGTGCGTGTTGCTCCAGAGCTAAGTTAGATCCGTCCCCCCCACACCTCCCCTTGCCGACAGACACGGCTGCCCTGTGACTCTTTGTCTGCCTCTTCCCTGCCCTGACCATGGGCTGCGTGTACTCAGCCCCACGAGAAGAGGCAGCTGTGGCCAGGTGAGTTAATCTGCCCGATGGGCAGGCGGGATTGCTCTGCCACCCCAAAGCTGGGTGGAGTGGGGGGGCCTCTCCCTGCTGGGGCAGGAGGAGAAGGAAGGGGAGAGGCTGTGCTTGGAGACAGGCTGCTCCAGCAGAGATACTGCTGGCTCTGCTTAATCGCTCTGCAATGTCCAGGCTGCGTTCTCACTTCTGGATGTACGTGTGCTTTTGGGAGGAAAGTTTACAGCTTTCTGAAGGAGAGGTGTTTTGGTTGAGCCTGAGACTTTGGTATCGCTGCTGAGCTGTTGGGAACTTCTTCTCCCTTCCTTTTTTCCTCCTGAAATCAAAGGAGAGACTTCTCAAAGCCCTGTGAGTCGCATACGCTGTGGCGTCTCACCAAGGGTGGGCAATCTCTACAAGACTTGCTCCAACAATGGAGTTAATCCCCTTTCCTCCACCTGTCACTTCTTCTAACTCTGAGAGCTGCTGCCCTGAGCTATTGGAGCTGTAGGAGCAGTCGTTGCTGAAAACACACTTTCTCTTTTAAGTTTTCCTGGCTGGGCGGTAAAAATGAGTGTCATTCCTGTCTTCCATGTCTTTGTATTTTTGCAGCTCAGATTTTTCGAGCCACCCTGATGAAGCAATTTCAGGGAGTTGCGTAGCCTTTTTTTTTCAAAAGCCAAACTGGTTATTTCTTCTGTATATGACTGTTCTCCACCACAACACTTCAGTGCAGGGTTGCCTCCTTTGAAAACAGACGAGCTGCATGTGCTGCACCCTTTTCTCTTCCAAAGGAAGCTTGCTGAAAGGATCTAAAACTTTTTCTTTTTTCTTTTTTTTTCCTCCTTTTAAAAGCGTTTTGTTTAGTAGTTGACCCGACAGCTATTTTAATTGGATCTCATTTGCACAGGGCAGTAAACCAAAGAGGTTCACCAGGGAGCCAAAAGCTAAGTGAGAGCTGAGTCCTGTGAGCTGGCTGCGGGGCAGCTCTCCCAAGCCCTTGTCCGGGCAGGAGCATGGGCAGGGCTGGGGCTGTTCTCTCAGATGCTTGTGATGTCCTTGTTCCCAATGAAGCACAAATGACAACGTGAGGAGACTGTTAACTGCTGAGAGAGCAAAGTGGGGGGTGCAAAGCAGCTCTGCCCTGGCAGCACAGTCTCCTTGGGTGGCTTTTTTGGGTAGGGTTTGCTTGTTTTCAGTGTGTGCTATGTGGGGCTGGAGTTGTCAGACCAGGTTACAGAGCTCCTTGATACTTTTGGGTGGAAAGGGGTGCTTGAAGGCACACTTTGCCAAATGTCCCCCACCCTGCTGCTCTGTGTGATGTGTATGTGCTCTGCAAATGTCTCAGCACATCCACAGAGATCCCTCCCTCTGGGCTGCAGAGTTTAGGAAACTGTTAGTGAGCTCTGCACATTCTCACATGGGCCAGAGCCAAAACCATTTGTTTTTTTGCCTGGAGGCTTCTCTCTTCCCACAGGAGACTCAGCCTTGCATTCTTCCATTGTGAAAGAGAAACGGGAATGGATCCCATGTTCCTCCTCCCTGAAGCTGCTGAAGCTCCAGTGGGGAAGACACAGAGTGAGCTCCTGGCACTTGTCCTCCTACCTTGAGAAGACCCCTGTGCCTAATCTGACTGTAGCTAAAGCCACCTCTGCTTCTGATGCTCCCAGGGCTCGGTTCCTTTCACCCTGTGATGCTGGAAGTCCAGGGGTGTGCTTGGGATAGCAAGGCTCTTCTGGTTCCCTGCCTAATAGGGTAAAAATCCATAGTGGTATGGATTTCTGCCTCGATGTTTCTGATGCTGCTGTGGTTTGTTTGTCTTTGAGATGGAGAAAGACACCTCCCTGCGATAATACAATCTACTGTGCTGGAGATCCACACTGGGGATGGAAGCCCTGGTGTGGGAATGAGCCCTGTGGGACCTCAGCAGGCAGCAGTCACCTTGCCAGTGGCTCTGTGGGCCTGATCAGCTGTGTCTGTTTGCTCTGCAGGGCTCCCCAGCTCCGGGACTCGTGTCTAACATGCTGTTTTGAGGTCGAAACAGCTGGTTTTTAGCACTATCTGACTTCAAGGAATCCACCCTGGGGGGCATGGCTTAGGACTGATCCCCTGCCTGTCCACTGTAGTGGAGGAAGCAGGGAGCTCCCTTCCCTTCTCTCCCACTGTGGAGCTGAGATTTTTCTGGAGACTTACTCTTGCATCATAGCTCTGTGAGATCCTTGTAATCTGTGAAAGGTCTCGGAGCAGTTGATAAAGGTTTTCCGTCACTCAGGGCTGAATTACTGGGCTTTGCCTTTGGAGGATTTACTGATGGAGGTAAGGCAGGGTGTCAGCTGTTCCCCTGTGCCCCAGAGTCCCTGATCCCTGGCTGTGTGCAGAGGAGAAGCCCTGCAGCTGAGCGATGGGTAATCCCTGTGACAGGGTAAATATGAGTGGTCGATGAGGATGCTCACCACTTTAGGTGGCCTTCTGAGATCTGGTGTGGTTTGGGGGCTACTTTTTACCCACTTTCTTATTCCTGACCTTAAAAAATGAATGTGCCCATCTGAAAGGAGGTTCCTCCTGTCTTTCAGAGCAGCTCCAGTGAGAGACAGCAGCTTCATTGAGAAGATGAAGAAGACGGTAAGCTTCTTACTCTGGCTGCACAGGGTGATGGGAAGGTGGGGGAGCTCATGTCCATCTCAATTTCCCCTGGAGACTGTCTAGTTGTCAGCAAGGGGACTGGTTCTGATACAGGCACATATCTGCTGCAAAGAGCATCCAGAGGAAGGCTGCATATTCCAGCAGGAAAAAATAGTTCTTCCAGTCTATGCCCGAGAGCTGTTCTTACAGAAAAAATTGAAATGAAAATTTGGATGAAAAAAAAAAAGTGTAATACAAGATCAAAGTCAAGAGGGAAATGGCAGAGACTTGGAAGTCAGTGGCTGGCAGTTGTTTATCTGTGTGCTTGGTTCCCAAACTGGCTCACTCTGGAGTGGGAATTGTACACAGAACTGGCAGTTTTTGACTCCACTGGACTGGACATGGGAGGAAGCAGAGGAAGAAGCGAGGGCTGGGTATATTTTCTGTTTTAACTTCAAAGTAGCTTGTTTGTGGCAGAGCAGGAGCTCCGGTGCTCAGGCACTTTCCCAAAGCTTAGGCAAGTCTGCTTTCTCATCCAGGGAGTTCCCTGCTTCCAGGAGTCACGCTGCAGCTTTGAGGCTGAAAATAAATCTTAAGGGTTTATTCTTTGCTTTGAGTTTTAGTCTGAGTCACCCCTCTGAGACTGACAAGAGTCACGTTCCTGTTAACAGCTTAGCCTTGAGTTTTCTGTCACGAACTTGGCGTGGAGCCCTGTACAAGCACAGACTCCCAGTTGCTTTTAGGTTGCAGTCCAGGGCTCTTGATCACAGGCGTTTCCTTTGCCTCTGACAAGATGTACTTCGTCCCTGCGTTTGCCAAATGAGTAATCACCATTTAACAGGGATTTCTTTTTCTCTCCAGGGACGAAACATAGTGGTTTTCTATGGTTCTCAGACGGGTACAGCAGAGGAGTTTGCCAATCGTCTCTCCAAAGATGCTCATCGCTACGGCCTCCGGGGCATGGCAGCGGATCCAGAGGAGTATGACTTGGTAATTTAACCATGAAAAACCTCAGGATAGGTAACATCCTTTTAGTGCACTGTAAAAAAACCCAGAAAGAGCCTGGCCAAGGGAGAGTTGCCCTTTTAGTAGTGTCATTTAAGGGAGAAAAGATCAGTCTGAGAGTTGCAGAGATAGGCTCAGTCCTTGCTATTCTACCGATTTGGAGTGAACACCACAACATGACTGAAAGGGGAAGGGAGTCTGGAGTGTCTGGGAGCTGCAAGTCATCCATTGGCAGCATGAAACTTGTTCTGTGTTCCTTCTGTAGTTAGCATTGGTGCCATGCTGCTGTAGGCTTGGACAGAGGCATTGACCTTGTGGTGTTCTCCAGAGTGAAAAATGATCCTGGTCCCTTAAAGCTTTGTATGGAAAATACCATCACTTTTCTGGTGAAGTATTGATTTGCAGTCCAGTGAGGGTGGTTAGCTTTATTTCCCCTGACGTTTTGGGTGAGTTTGGCCTTTCCCAACCCCTTGTAATCAGCTGTTGGACATTACGGGGTGCTGTTCTGCACATGAGAGGGAGCTATATTGTAGGAATAGGCTTGCCCAGTAACCACATTGTGGGATCTTTGAGGATTTCTTCTTTCCTGTGGTTGTAGTCGGACCTGAGTCGCCTCTCTGAGATCGACAAGTCCTTAGCTGTGTTCTGCATGGCCACTTACGGTGAGGGTGATCCCACGGACAATGCCCAAGACTTCTACGACTGGCTGCAGGAGGCGGACGCTGACTTGTCAGGTCTCCGATTTGCAGTAAGTGGCTCAATTCACATTGATGCTGCATTTGGGCAGGAAAATCACAAGCCCTCCCTTGTGCCTGCACAGAGCCTGGGTAAAAGCACAACATGATGTCTATGCCTTTTATGTCTCTGTTGGATGTGGTCCTTATTGTCTTCCTCCCCAAGCTTTGGGAACACTTGCAAACATATATCTGGGAGCTTTAAATGCAGATGTCGGAGTCCTCTCTCCACTCCCTAAATCACAAGGGTTTGCTGGTAATGTCTTGCCACAAACAGCCCAGCAGGCATTGAATACAAGGTCTGTAAATGAGTTACGGGCTGCTGCTGCTGTTCAGGAGCTAATTGAGCAGCCCTGGGCCAGATCTTCTCCCACAAATTAAATCACTTGAAGGAGTGTGTAGTTATTTTCCTGTGCTGAATAATTGGCTGAGATACAGTCACCTCACCTAAACCCTGGCCAAATTCCTTAGGCAGCATAATAATTGCAAATGAGGAGAAAATCCACTGCTGGAGATGTTTAGCTGCTCTGTATAAAGCGGTGAGCAAACACTTGCTGAGTGGTTTGTGGGAGGCAAGGGACAGCAGTTAGTCTCCAGGCAGTCTAAGCTCTTACTGGTCCCTCAAGGAGATGGTTCAGGCAACTCTTGTATGTGTGTCCTCTTGATGTGCCTGAGGCCTGGCTCCAGGGACCTGATGGTTCCTTCTGACCAGACACTCTGCAGTGGAAGATTCTTACTCAAAATGTCCACAAATAGCTGAATGGGGAGCTGAGAGAGGTCTTGCTGTTGTCTTCTGTGCTTTTTCTTCAACATCCTTTGAGTGCTGCTGGCCAGAGGATTATTGTTGGATGGGAAAAACCCAGTCCCTGTTTCTCCTCACTTACCAGCGTTCCCTTCCAGGTCTTTGGGCTGGGGAACAAGACTTATGAGCACTTCAATGCCATGGGAAAGTATGTGGACAAGAGACTGGAGGAGCTTGGAGCCCAACGCATCTTTGAACTTGGGCTGGGAGATGACGATGGCAAGTGAGTAGCTTTGCTTGAAGGGCTGGTCAGAGCTGGCTAAAGTGTCATGAAAGGGACCTTGGCAGGGAGTTGGCTCTGCTGCTAAGACAGAATTAAACTCCTTAGGGCTAGTTGTGAGAGCTGATGTGTCTCTGAGTGTGTGGCTGTTCTCTCTCCCACAAGCAGATCCCTGTACACTTAGAGCATCCGAGGGGATATTGTGTCTGGAAAATCCCACACCAGCTTTAAATGACCGTAGTCACATACTCAAGGAGGCTTTGCAGCCTCCTCTGCCTTTGCCCTGCTGCAGCTCCATTGCTAACCCAGCCTCTGTGGATAAGTTCACTCTTCCTTGTGGAAGAGACAAACTCCAGCTCCTTGTGAACTGTTTTATGGTGGAATGCAGCAATTTTCCAACTCAGATGAATATTTTTTGAGGCCTCTCTATTCCCACCTGAGCACCCTGTGGGTAGCAGCTTAACCTGGGAAGTTACATCAACCTGTGGCTTTGACTGTAAAGACTGAAAGATCTGATGAGAGGGATGTGCCATGTGTGGGAGGCTCCGAGCCTGGCAAAATAAGCATTGCCATGGTGAAATCTGCCTCTTGGGAAGGTGAACTGATGACAGGAGTCAGCACAGGGGAGCTGTTGGTTAAAGACAGAGTCTGAATAAAACCTTCCTTGGCACATTTGTGAAGGGAGGGGTGACTGGTGTAGCAACAGTTCCCTCCCTCCCACCCACTTGTTGCTCTGAAGGTGTTCTCCTGGTGATCTGTGGGCACTTGGAGGTACCAAAACTGCCTGAGTCCAAAGGCAAATGCCTTTTCCCATGGTGAAGGAGGAATTCCATATGGAATGGAATGGCTTCTCAGATGGCTTCTCTGGGAATGCCCCTTTCCTCCCTCTTAGGCAGAGTTATTGAATCTCTCTTTTTGCCCTGGCTAGCCTGGAAGAAGACTTCATCACCTGGAGAGAACAGTTCTGGCCAGCAGTGTGCGAGCACTTCGGGGTGGAGGCTACAGGAGAAGAGTCCAGGTGGGTGCAGGTTCTTCCGGGTGCCAGAGAGATTGGCCACCTTTGACTGGTGGCTGTGCCATCAGCCCTGAGCTGCTATCCCCTTTCCTGGGGGCTTCCTCCCCTTCCAGACTTGTGAGGGCAGGTGTGAAGTAGAGCAGTGAGTAGGGCTGTTTGGATTGAGCCTGACCTGGGGCGAGTTTGAAGCCAGGTCTAGATTTCTGGTGCGAGTGGGTGATGTGATGGGTTTGGTTCCTCTGGGGATGGCTTTGCTGTGCTCTGTGGCACTGATGCTCACAGTGAAGCTGATGTTTTCTCTTGGTTTGGGCTTTCTGCATGGTCTGCCTGCTCCTTAAATGTCTTGAGAGAGGCGAAGGGCTGTAGGCAGCATTTGTTTGAACTGCAGCAAATCCAGGTGATGGTTCCAAGTGCAACTTGTGACTTTCCAGTCTGACTTTTTTCTCTTTTTCTCTCCCCCTTCCTTTTCCAGCATCCGCCAGTATGAGCTGGTGGTGCACACAGATGTGAACATGAACAAAGTCTACACCGGTGAGATGGGTCGTCTCAAGAGCTACGAGAACCAGAAGCCGTAAGTGCCAGACCCCCCTGGGCAGGGTGTCCATGGGCCCTCGACGTTTCTAACAACCTGTGCTCCGTGTGCAGTGTCATTTCTGCAGTGCAGCCATGTGGCAGGTCTCTTCCCAAGAGAAATGGGGTCAGATCTCCACTGGGACTCTTGGAGATTCCCCAGTTAATGAATCATTAGTGTTTGAGTAGGTGGCAGCTTTCACATGCGGTTTGGCTGGTACATTTGCAGCGTCTGACTTGAGGTCACTCCGAGCCTTTCCTTGCCCAGGGTAGTTAATGTGTGATGGTTGCTTGTAGTTTTGCTTTGGGGAGATGAGCTGTATAAATTATTCCCAACCTGAAATATCTCTTTGAGATGTGACATTCCCTCCAATCCACTTTTCCATCACTTGTTCTCAATGAGACAGAAGCTGTGGACTCCTGGGCTGTGCTTAGAAGGAAAATGATCTGTTTTCTGTGCCACTGTGGGTAGCAGCAGGATCGCAATTTGGCTTGTGCTATGGTGTGCTTTGAAATGTGAGCCAGGCTGTGCTCAAATCAGGGCAGCCTGCTCTGCAGGCAGAGGGAACATGCCTGGATACAAGCAGCACTGTGAGCCTGCAAGAGAGTAACCCAGGGGGTCCTTGTCTTTCCTTCCAGACCATTCGATGCCAAGAACCCCTTCCTGGCCCAGGTCACGGTGAACCGCAAGCTGAACGAGGGTGGAGAGCGGCACCTTATGCACCTGGAGCTGGATATTTCCAATTCCAAAATCAGGTAGTTTCCCCGTGGGAGACTGCTCCTCTATTTTGGCAGGAGCAGTCTGCATCAGAAGCAAAGGATGAGGTGCTGGCCTCATCTGGCACTTCAGAAGGGACCTTGTTTTCTTGATTACTTAACACTGCGTCTCTGGGCTTCTGTGCCACATACCAGGTCCTATGTCAGGACTTTCTCCCAGCTCTTGTGTTGTCCCTGACCACGCCAGCTGGCTTCTCTGAGTCCCTCCAGAGCTGGCTGCACATACCCATCCTACCTGCAAGAATTCTCTAGGAGTCATTCCAAAAATGAGAGGGGCACTTGAGCTATGAGAGAGGGGAGAGCTGGGGATGGTTCATGCCTGGATTTGCCTGGCTGAGGTATACAAGCATAAGGAGAATAAAGCCCTGTTCTTAAAACCCCTCTTACTGGCTTAAATTCCTTTGTATGTGCTTGTGAGAAAGCCCCAAATCCAGGTGGCTTAACAAGAAAATATTGCAGAGGTTTGGAGCAGCTTTGCTCCTTCCCTGTCAGGGAGTTGGCCTGTCCCTGCTGGAAGTCTGGCCTCATTGAAGTCTCTGGCAAAACTGCTCTTGTCTTGGAGGTCCTTTGTAAAAAAACAAAAAACAAAACCAAAAAAACCCAACTGGTTCTTAGAACCCTTATTCCACAGTAGTTTTTTCTGGTGTTACCATCCGTGGTTGTGCAGGCCCTGTGCAGCAGCTCAGGTCTCAGTGTTGTCCTACTGCTCCTTGCACCAGCCTGCTTGTCTTCTAGCAGAGCAGCTCAGGCTTGGTGTGGATGAGAAGTGGTGCTGGTGTTCCATCTGCTCTCCTCCTGCTCTCCTGCCAGGTATGAGTCTGGGGACCATGTGGCAGTGTATCCAGCCAACGACTCCTCTCTGGTGAATCAGATTGGTGAGATCCTGGGCACGGATCTGGACACGATCATGTCTCTAAACAATTTGGATGGTGAGTATGCATCACTCCTGAGTGTCAGCAGTTCTCCTTCAGCTATGGCCTCTGTCCTTCCCATCGGATCAGGAGCCACCTTTAGGTCTTGTAGGACACCTCCAGGCAAACAGACATGTCCCGTGACTGCTCCAAATGTGGTGCCATTTTAGCAGCAGTGGCACAGAGCCTGCTTGCCAAGAGCCAGCTGAAGTGGGTCAGTTGTGAAATGCACTCGCTGTGCCCCTTCAACAAGCAATGATGTAACAGCACGCTCCTAATTACAGAGCATCAGCCCGCCAGAGCATCCCTCTGCAGCTCACCAGGGGCCTTCGTGTCTGAGATGCTGTTATTCAGTCCTTGGAGGAGGCACAGGCTTGGGGACTGAACTGCCAGGAGGGAGCACTTGTGCTGATACAAAGAGCTTTTCTTGGGCAATGTTCCCAGCAGAGCTGGCTTCTGGCAGGAGGGAGATAGCAGCTGCTGCCCATCTTGCTCGTGAAGCAGCACAGCTTGACTTGAAGCATCAGATGTGCTGGCCCAGAAGCCTAAGGGAGCTCCTGGTTTCATGAGAGCAAGTGGCTTTAATGCACTGCTTGAGCCTGCAGCCCCCTGTGAGGTGTCCCACCTTGTCCAGCCTCACGCTGTCATTCTAGTCCCTAAGGAACCTCTTAATTTGCTGAACTGAATGGCTCCAGCCTTGACTGCTGGCACTTACCTTTCCCAAGGGGGCTGTGAGCACAAAAATTGGTGGTTGAAGGAGACAAAGGACACTTTTGAGGTCAGATCTGAAGGAGGTGTAAGTGCTTGAGGCCAAATTAGCCATGGAGAACAGCCCTCCCTGTTTGCTGGGTGCCCCTGTGCATGGAGATCCCAGGTTTTTGTTTGGTTGGGGTTTTTTGAAGGGGGTTTTGGGGTTGTTTGGGGTTTTTTTGTGATAAGCTGTCAGGCAGCATCTGTGGAACACAAAATGGGCTACTGGGAGATGTAGCTGCCTGGAGGGGGAGCTGCCCTGCGCTGGAGCTGCTTCAAAGTGGGACTGGGGCTTGGGCCAACAGGCTGATTCAGCCCTTGGGCTGCTCTTGCCTCTCTGAAGCTGGTTCCCCTGCTCTGTCTCCAGCTCTTATACGCTGCACGTAGCTGCTGGCACAAAATCTGACATAACAGCATGTGCTTGCTGATTTTTAATATATTTTTTCTCTCCTCCAGAGGAATCCAATAAGAAACATCCCTTCCCCTGCCCCACGTCCTACCGTACAGCCCTGACCTACTACCTGGACATCACCAACCCTCCTCGCACCAACGTCCTCTACGAGCTGGCCCAGTACGCCACGGACGCTGGCGAGCAGGAGCGCCTCCGCAAAATGGCATCGTCTGCTGCCGAGGGGAAGGTGGGAGCTGTGGCCTTCCCAGCAAAGCTGCTGGATTAAACTGGGTGCTGGGGGATCCCCAAAAGGGATCCAGGACTGTTGGGCACCATGTGCAGAGAGCTGAGGGAGTGTTTGCCAGGCATGTAGGGATGTCATCGCGTGTGTGCCTTCCTTGCCCGCAGGCTCTGTACCTCAGCTGGGTGGTGGAGTCCCGGAGGAACATCTTGGCCATCCTGCAGGACATGCCCTCGCTGCGTCCCCCCATCGACCACTTGTGTGAGCTCCTGCCCCGCCTGCAGGCTCGCTACTACTCCATCGCCTCCTCCTCCAAGGTGAGCCTGCTTCCAGCAGGGACTGGGGCTGCTGAGAGACCACTTCAGCTGCAGCTACACAGTGCCACTGTCCACCCTCTCAGCTGGGGACAGGACACAGGGAATTTGCCTTGGTGACACTTTCTGCCAGGGGAATCAGCTTTAGTTATCTCCTTGCATGAGAAGAGGGGGTTCTCCCAACTTCCATCGGGTCTGCAGATGGTCCCACACTTAAGCCAGCCCTGCCCCTCTTTGCCCATGGGCCTTGCTTTCAGGGCTTGGAAGCAAGGTGGGATTTTAGGGGTTGGTCAAAATTCACTCTTTATTTTGTGCCTGAAGCCCTGAGGTTGTTGGCAATACCAAGGGAAGCTCAGCAGTCCTGTGACAACTTGGGCACAAGACAGAAGCCCCATGTTGGGGCATGCCTGGAGGCTTCATCTGCCAGAGGAGGAATAACTGTCCAAACCTTAACATTAGGTTAAACTTCTCCCCTTCCCTGAGCACGAGGGATGGAGCTGTGGGTTTGCTGGGGTTCCCTCTCTGCCTGGTGCTGACATCCCTTCCCTGCAGGTTCACCCCAACGCCATCCACATCTGTGCCGTGACAGTAGAGTACAAGACCAACACAGGACGCTTGAACAAAGGGGTGGCCACCAACTGGCTCAAGAACAAGGTGCCTGATGAGAATGGGAGCAACTCCCTGGTGCCCATGTATGTCAGGAAGTCACAGTTCCGCCTGCCCTTCAAACCCAGCACGCCCGTCATCATGATCGGACCAGGGACGGGCATAGCCCCCTTCATCGGCTTCATTCAGGAGCGGGCCTGGCTGAAGCAGCAAGGTGAGCACCCAGGAACCTCCCTGGGGACTGGAGCTGCTGCAGGATGATCCTCTGCGGGGCCGCTCGGTCCCTCTGAGGTGCAGCTTGTGCTGCTCACGTTGCTGACGGGTCTAGCAAAACGCAGAGGCGGTGGAGCAGGGTGAACAGCAGCTGAGTGTTTTTGTCCAGCACAAGGATGCTTTGTTCTCCTCTCTTGGCCACAGAGGATGTGTGGGGGGGTGGATAGACCTGAGCCAGTTCTCTGACCTCTACCATCACGTGTCTGAATAACCACAGTCCAGTCACTTGGACTCATTTCTGAAGCGTATGGATACTTCTGGGAGTCAGCCTCGAGCTTCTCCCTCTAAAGAGAAGCGGTGACACGGCTCTGCCTGCCCTGGGGTGGCAGGACGAGGGGAGGTGGGGAGGACAGGACGAGGGGAGGTGGGGAGGGCAGGGCTGGGGGCTGCAGGGA